ATCAAATCAAAATATGCAAACCAGTTAATTTGAATCAACATAAAGTTCATATCCAATCACCATTATCTATCGTCAATCAAAATACACAAACTACGCATCCCTCTTACCCAAACTTGAACGATCGAGGTCTGCGTGTAGGTGGACTAGCAATGGACGCATCAGCTGTAGGTACAATGGTTGGTGCCTTCTCCACAATATCACAAGCGACGTAAACTGACCTAAGAACTCCAAACCCACCTTTCGACGTTATGGACACATTAGGAATATTGCAAACAACTGCTTCGATAGCCTCTCCGACATCCTGTCATCCGCAAAAATATTGGGAGTAAAAATATCACGTGGTTAGGGCTCATCTCTATCGCGATCGTTATGACCAAATCCATCATACTCATCAGCAACATTGTGTTGCCCAATTTCTATTGTAACTTCATCAAACCTTCGTCAGAGCATATTTATCTCATCAGTGACATGATTTCTCAAACCACACACATGACCTCCCAGATCATTTTGGAGACTAGCGAATCTTGTGTTCATCTCCTCCCTCAAATTGCCCATCTTGCTCTCAAATGCCTCCCGTTGTTCGTTCAAGAGAGCTCTTATCTCATCTAAAGACACATGCCTTTCGATGATCGGATCCCCATGCTCTTCTTCTCTACCTTCAACATGATGCAAACCTCAATGATGAAGTCCACCTTTGTCATCTCTCTGAGATTTATTTGGTCAATGGTTATTGTCATCATTCCGTATAACATCATCTTCAACTAGACAAGCTTGTATTTCTATTGATTGAGCAACAAGACTATTTAGAACGGGGTCAGCTACATCTTCTAATGGAACTAGATCAACGAAGTACGGTTACAATTCTTCTGTAGCAGTTGCCGGCAGTGTTACCCACAAGTGCACCTACAGGGAAAGGAAAAATGAGCGAAATTAAATATTATATATTACGAAAGTGTAAGGCAATTATGTATGTAAATCACTCACATCTGTCTTCTCAAAAAAATTTGAATATGTTCGGGAATGAGGATTTTTCGTGCCAGACCACCGCAACATCATCGGAACATCGTCACAAATCTTACTCGAGAATAGAGCTCCCAACTCTGGGATTACCTCGTACGCCCAAACCTGCATGACATTTATAACAATAATAATCATATTCGGAGGTAAATAACAATGTGTGATGAAAAGAACTGAAATGAACCAAAATAGATGTATACCTGGAGGGCAAGAGGAAATTCGTACAATGTGTAAGTCATCCTATCACAATCGTTCACTTTTGTCATGTCCGCCTTTCTTCCCCATCTACGTAGCAGTGATTTGATAAGAAGTTGAAAACATACCGTCCCCTATGGGTAGCCATTGAAGAAATCAAAGTTGTCAACGATGGAGAGAGTTGTCGGATGTATTCCTACATTTCGGTCTCTTAAATTAAATACCCCTTCAATAATTAGTGCAAACCCAAGCTTGTAACGATCATTACGGTTGGCACATTTCAAGAAAACTTTCTCCAAGTTGCTACAAGTTATCCGATTCATATTAGCAAACATTCTGTCCTGTAAACGAGTTTTCTCTAGGATTTTGTCAACTTAGGTACCTTTAGGCTCTGGACCGCAGTTCAAGTAGGTGATTAATGTGAACTCTGGCAATCTAAATCGTGCGAACCTTTGGTTTACCTTGAACCAAGCCTCAAACCGCTTTCGGCAAACCACCGATCTGTTTACCATTTCATGAATTAATTGTGCGGATATTTTCGGCTCCGATAACCTTGCAACATGTCCTATACAACTCTCCTCCAACTGACGTTTTTGTTGCGAATCCAATTTGTTGAGGACAACTACTATGTATTTTGTGTTGCTCACTTGCGACACATGGGCCAAAACACGTTCCTCCTCCGAAATTTTATATCGGTGTGTCATACTCATCTACAAATCAAAACAAATGAAAACAACATTTATATCAGTGATTTCATGAAAAAAATAGATGAACAAAATGCTTTTAACTTTCCACTCTGAGGCTTCAATAAGTACATGCTACTACCTACTTGATGCTTCAATTTATTCAAATCAAGCAATTGGAATTCAAATTTAAGAAAAAAGAACACTATATATTTGAAGAAAATGCTTTCAACTTTCATTTTAATGATAGTTGGTGCCTAGGCATAATAACATTTAGGCCTCATGAATCCTAATGCATAATGCAGTTGTCAAAAAAGAGAAAAAAAAATGGAAATAACAATTGACTACTAGCTAATTTACCTGCAAGAACTTTAATTAGTTCAAACGCATTCAAATTTGGAAGTAGATTGAACACATCCTGCAGAATCTAGGAGACATATCAACATAAGATAGGAAATAATAAGTAATTGTGTGATATCCAAAGTAAAGAAGGGCGACAAGTGAAAAGTTACAAAGTGGTAAACTTCAACATTTATGCTAAAAATTTGAAAAGTGCAGTACAAAAAAGCCTAATTGGACTCCAGTAAGAGGATTTTAGGTATTCTATTTTACATTCTCTACTTGCCGATGAGGATTTCTAAATCTAGATTATTTATAAATTCATATTATAAAGTTATCAAGTTGCAATAGGATGAAAATTCCCAATCTGAAGGGGGCTTTTTAAGTCTTGGAACAAGATGGTCAATCCTAGACCTATGAACACACTTGAAAAAAGATTAAAACTAACCATTATGTATCCACATCAAGAAATCAATCAACTTATACATATATGAACTTCATATACATACATCATTCAGCCCAAATTTATAACTATAGGTAGATAACCAGATATCTGCCAACACAAAGAATTTGGAATAACATTAGCTATTATACATACAAAATAATTAAAAGCATGTTAAACTAAGACTTCTCGAAGGTTAGCATTGTAAACGATGATAATGTAGGGTTCAGTTTATAACTTAATTAAAAGCATGTTAAACTAAGACTTCTCGAACACAACTATTTGCTACCTACGATGTTGCTGGTCTTATTTCTTCTCTTTATGTAGAGATTAGAAAAATGTTTTTACAAAAGGTATATATAATATGCACAATACTACATTTCCTCCTTACTAATATATTAATCTATTCATCATGCACTTTGTCAAAAAGAAATTGCTAATACCTTAAAATAGTACTATTTCTATCAATAATCAAAAGATTTACTTTTAATAAAGAAAGTTACCCATAAAGCCTAATGAATCTTAGAGAACTCAAGAACAATCAAGAAAGTTACAAGTGCGTTCACACACAAATCAAATTCATAGTCTAGATTTAACAAAAGAAAAAGATTAAATTTACAAAGAAGGCTGACTGAAAAGAGACAATAACAGACCATATGCAGTTAATTAAAGTAGGCATATCCAGAAAACAAACAATCTCTTCACAAAACTAAGATGCAATGGTATAATGATAGACCGTACTAACAAACATCAAAACAGGGACAAATGTACAATTCTAAAACTAGCCATTCAGTGAAAAAATTTCCATATCCAGAAATCCAAGATATTTGCAGCCCATACAAACAGAATAAAATAAATTAGTGGTTATTGAAAACAAGATATTCGGAAAACAGACCACTACCATATCCAATCTTCAATACATACTCAAAACCATAAGACCAACACCGAAAAATGTTTCCTCACAAACAACCATGAATAATTTCCTCATTTTCAACACATGATACATGAGTATAGTCAGGGGCAGTGCCAAGATTCTTAAATTTTGGGGGCAAATGTAGTGATAATTAAAGTTATAAAAAAGTTATTGACACTACCATGCTCGTTAGAAAAGGTATAGTAAAACAACATTAATTATCATATCAAACAACATTGAGTAGTTTATCATAAACTTCATAACAAGTTTACAAAAAAAAAAAAAGAAAAAAAGAAAAAGAAAAAGATCTTTATAACAAAAAGTAGATACTAGTACGATAACATTTAGGCCTTCATAGCTCACTTGCTTCAGTAATTGAGTACTAGAAAAACAAATCATTAAGAGTCCAGGGAACAAGAAGCTAATACAAAGCAATGGTTAAAAGTAGCAAACATTTTTCAACTAATTATATAACAAAATAGACCCAACTTTTCAAATCAATTAATAGCATATTCAAAGGAAAAATTCTTTGTAAAACTGTAAAAAAAAATGATATACTAATGAGAATCACGAAGGGGGTGATTCTGCCCTCATGATTCTTCGCAATCAAAATACTAAAAGACGATAGAATATGACTTGAAAAAACACAAGCAATTCGAATGTTCAAGAATCCAAACCTCAGGAAAAAGACAAATAAAACAAAACCCATAATGATTTTTACCTATATAATTTATCAGATCTCACTTTTCTCCATTTAGTTGAAGCCAAAGAAACCAAATTACAACAAATAATAAATTTTATATGCATAATTATTAGAATTAAAACATGAGCAAATTTCATCAAGCAAAAGAACTAAGAGATTAACTAAAACATACCAGACTTAAGGAACCCACGCTGTGGGTGTCGGTCGATGTCGGGGATTTGAGGAGAAAATAAGAGACGACGATGAGATTAGAGTACTGTAGGCGTGAGAGAGAAATGGAAGATAGGTTTGGGTTCGTGTCGGCGATTTGAGGAGAAATTTGATTTTTTTTTTTAATTTGTCTTTAAACAAAGCGGGCCGGGTCTATCTATGTCATTTTTACTGATCAACCCGTGACTTGATCCGCATCTACCCGACTTAGGCATTTAATGTTGATTGACATTTGTATTATGTTGATTGGCATTTATAATGATATGGAAAAATTTGAATTCTAGTGTGGAAATAGAATATGCTAACAGGAGTAACATAATTGGAAAAGGGATATTGACAAAATTGTGGATATTTTTGTAAATAACTATATAAAAATGGACATCATGTACACCAAACACAACTGTTAAAATATTGAATTATTTATAATACACGTAAAGATCATTCAATAATTACGTAAGTCGTGTCTTGGAGCTCAGACAAAGACGGTGATTAAATAAGAGGAAGCATATTTTTCAATTTTAATATCATTTAAAGAAATCTACTTGGCAGATGATTCGGAAACCTAAATTATGAAAACAGACCTTTATAATAAATTATTGATTTTTGTGTAAGCATTTATTGAATCAAGCAAATCAAACTCAAAACACTCTTTTGATGATAATTTATGTTTATTGGGTAATTCTGTGTAGTGTTCTAGTAGCTGATCTCTAGCTACAAGCTTTTCACCGTCGACATTTGCTACAATTTTATCTGTGGGTTTGATGCATTTTTGCTTCACCAAATCTCTATTTCTCTTGATTTTACTGAGTAAGCTTCTATCTCTATTTTTCCCCCTTAATTTTGTCTATATATGCATATATTACAGTATTACAGCAATTCACATGTTCAAGAGAGTATGACTTCGATTTTTGCATCTTCAGTTGAGGGCTTGTGAGTTTTTGCTTAAAAAATTGTTTTACTTGCACCTTTTGGAGTTATATTTGTCATTTATTTTGTTTATGCTGGAGTTCGGTTGGGAGCTACTGGGAGCTGAGTAGAGGTGATTCATGCTTTGAATCCTGATAACAAAGTTTATAATTCAATGTAGCTGTGTGATTGGAGCTTGGTCATTTAATTTCCCCATGAGTCAGTAAGTTGGGATTTCGTTTTTGCCATGGATTATTCGGTCAAAATTCAAACGCTGCTTCAAATTGAGAAAAGGAAATGGTTGTTCTTGGTGGGTTTGGTGGCTTTAACCCATTTATTCTGCCAGTCTTTGATGCTTCCTTATGGCAGTGCCCTTATGTCGCTATTGCCCAGTGGTGAGAAGGCCAGCAAATCATCCAATCAATCTTCTTTCAAGACTGTGATGCCTGAAAATGCTTACAATATTGGTATCTCGAATGCAAATAATGCATCTCTATTAGTAGGTGGATTGAAATATTCAAAGAGTTACCACTCGGCTGCAGAGGCAGAGGATAACGAGGGATCAATGGTAAAATATGAAGAAAGAAGAATTAATATTGCCTCAGATAGTGAGGCCATGGATAATGATTTTGATTTTGATTTTGTTGAGGATGAAACATTAGATAATGATAATCCATTTCAACTAAATCGAGATATGGAGGAGGGGTTCAAGATGCAACATGAGGAAAGCCAGGAACATGGTTCTAAGGAAAATATGTCAATCATTTTTTCAGATGCCAATACAAGGACCATGCAGGATGAAAGTAGCACTGTTGGTACTCCTACTTCGTTACCTTTGGTTGTTTCACAAGCTGCGGATTTGTTGATTAAATCAGTTGTTGAGACAAACTCAGGATCTCGAGAAAGAACATCTACTGATTTTGCCCCTGCTGTATCTTCTAAAACAAAAAAATTATCTGATGGCAAGGACAATTCGATGCTGCAAAATAAATTTTCTGTCCCCAGTAATGGATCTTTACTTGAGAGTAAGCCTGTTAAGAAGAAGATGAGGTGTGAGATGCCACCAAAAACAGTAATGCTGATAGATGAGATGCAACGTCTATTAGTTCGGCATCGAGCACGTTCACGTGCAATGGTAGGTTATTCTTGATAAAAAGATAACTATTTGTTTTGTTTTCATGTGTAATGTGGCTTTTTACAATTGGATTGCAGAGACCTAGGTGGTCTTCTGAATGTGACCAGGAAATTCTGCGTGCGAAGTTACAGATTGAGAATGCACCTGTTTTGAAGAATGGTCGAGATCTTTATGCTCCTGTCTTTCGAAATATATCCATGTTCAAAAGGTTAACCAAACTCAATTCAAAGAGTGAATAATAGTTCAATTTCAGAATCCATGTTTTCTGATTTTAGATATCTTGGTTTTATGCTCTTTGCCTAAGTTGTGTCTGACTTGTATCTCACTGAAAAATTTACCCTGGAACGGAAATTAATGCAGCAAGACAATATTATCTATCAGAAGTCTTTCTAATTTTTTAAACGGGCTTTGTCGCATTTACAATAGTATGTTATTTTCAGTCCATGAGCAAGGCACCTTCAGTCATGCACAAACAGCTTTTAAAACAGAGAATAATATAAACTAGCCTTGTCCTCAAAACCAACACTATAGAATCTAGGAAATTGAAATAATTCTCAAATAATTTTTAGACCCCCAACAGAGAGAGACTAATTGAAGTTTTAAAATTTGGAAAATGGCTTATCTTCTGTTTTCCGTAACAAAGAAAATTGCCCCTAATAGATCATATATGAACTTGATGCATTCCTAGTGACTTGATTTTGTGGAGATAAATTTGCTTTGTTCTCCTCTTAAAGAACAATGTTGAGTAAGGTGATAATTTGCAGAAACTAAAATACTACTAAACATATTTATCTTTCTTTCTCTTTGCTAATTGTGTTTCCTTAATTGTGCTTTGTTGCATTATTAGGAGCTATGAACTCATGGAGCGCTTACTCAAAATATATGTCTACAAAGAGGGTGAAAAACCCATCTTTCATCAACCAGTCCTCAAAGGATTATATGCATCTGAAGGATGGTTCATGAAGCTGATGGAGGGAAATAAGCATTTTGTTGTGAAGGATCCAAGGAAGGCTCATCTCTTTTATATGCCATTTAGTTCACGGATGCTAGAATACACTCTATATGTACGTAATTCCCACAATCGGACAAACCTACGTCAGTACTTGAAAAATTATTCAGAAAAGATTGCAGCGAAGTATCGATTCTGGAATAGAACTGGTGGGGCCGATCATTTTCTTGTTGCCTGCCATGACTGGGTATTGCTCTCTCTCCCCTCTCTCTCTCACACACACACACGCGCACACACTCCCACTCTTCCATTCCAAGTTGAACGCATTAGTCTTTACTGTTTTGAGTTTGTCACGATATACATATTCACATCTAGTATATGAATGGACAAAATGCTTATTAGCTAAATTTAAAAATCGGACCGTATTGGGGTTAAATGAAGGTACTAATGCATTAAAAAATTTAAATTCGGTGTTTGAAGTAATAGTTTTTTAAAACTTTATGGAGTATTTGTGTTATAACAATAAAGAATTTCAATAAGATCCTGATTTTTCAGTTTTTGACTACTATTTTGATTTGTATGCATCTTCTATAGTGGCATATGTTGGCTAGAGGAATACTGCCTCCTCACCCATTTGTATGCCCTCCTTTTCGTTGCAAAATGAATTATGGATTTATCTGTAGTGTCCTGACACAAGTGTATTTCTGTAGGCTCCATATGAAACAAGGCACCACATGGAACATTGCATCAAAGCCCTCTGCAATGCTGATATAACCATGGGGTTCAAAATAGGAAGGGATATATCCCTTCCAGAAACATATGTCCGGTCTGCTCGAAATCCTCTTAGAGATATTGGAGGAAAGCCATCATCACAGAGACACATTCTTGCCTTCTATGCTGGAAATATTCATGGATATTTACGTCCAATCTTGCTTGATTATTGGAAGGATAAGGACCCTGATATGAAAATCTTTGGCCCAATGCCTCCGGGAGTAGCGAGCAAAATGAATTACATCCAGCATATGAAAAGCAGCAAGTACTGTATTTGCCCAAAAGGATACGAAGTGAACAGTCCGAGGGTAGTTGAAGCCATTTTTTATGAGTGTGTACCAGTTATTATATCTGATAATTTCGTCCCGCCTTTTTTTGAGGTGTTGAATTGGGACGCATTCTCAGTAATCATAGCAGAGAATGACATCCCAAATTTGAAAAACATTCTTATGTCTATACCAGGAGAAAAATATAACAAAATGCAACTTGGTGTGAAGAAAGTTCAGCGACATTTTCTCTGGCATGCCAATCCTGCGAAATATGATCTCTTTCACATGACCCTTCACTCAATCTGGTATAATAGAGTTTTTCAGATAAAACTCAGATAACTATTGAAGGGATTCCAACAAGCATGTAAAAGTTTGAGGGAAGCTATTGTGGAAGTATACATGCAAACAGATAATATAGAATTCTGCTGGACGACTTATGATTAAGCAACTCCGTTGGCAGTTCTCGTGTTTTGTTAGCAATAACCTGTTCAAGAGGAGTACTCTTGTCTGTTGAGAAATTTTATCTTATGAACGTGAGATCAGGCTTGTCGGCCGATCATCTGTATGTACTATGTATTCAACTAGTAATTTCTGTAAATAAGTTATGATATTTGCTTGTAGAAGAGAATTTGTTGGGAATCTACATAAACGTGCACAACGGAAATTAATACAGATTTCGATTCCCATTGAGAATCATTTTTGTGTTTAGATAGAAATTGTGATAAAAATCATACATTTTTCTAGATCTGCAAATTTTTTTGTCATTCTTTCGTTCCAACTCAGACTTTTGGTTGTTGGATCTTGAAATTCTAAGATGCCAAGAAAAAGAGAGTACTGATATCCCTGAAAATGACCCATATGCTGAAGACAGTGGAGTAATATTTGGCCAAAAAACATACCCAGTTTCATAAAGCAATATCCTTCGACTTACATTGCTCATATCTTCCTTGCAATCCTGCTTTTATAAAGCAAACAATACAAGAACACACAATATAATGTGATCATTCAACATGTCCATGTCATGGGAGATAGGATAGTGTTTTGATAATTATCTGTGTTGATAAGTATATTTTATGCACTTGTCTTGACCGCTTTGCAAAGACTTTTGAAAAGTATTTTGAGCGTTCAGAGCAAAATTGTTATTGATTTTTTCTTCTATTTGGAGGCAAAATTGAGGAAAAACATGAAGAATTGGCATGTTTGAATGATCCGGAAGTTAGAAGTGAAGAACCAAACCTCATAGATCAAATGAGAGGGATAGACAATGGACAAATGAAGGAGTAGAATTCCACTTTATTTCTCCCCTATTCTATTTATTTACATTAAAATTATTTGTCTTTAACAATTTCATCCTTCAACAATGTTTCGAGTGGCTTTTCTCTTTCCTTTTTAAGAATACTCACGGTTCCAAAACAGTTATTAGGTTCATATTGAAATAACCAAATTCAATTTACTTTGTGTACTTTAGTATTTAAAAAATAAATCTTAAAAAAAAGTAACAGTGACGTAACAGAAGAAGGCAGTAAAAAGCACATTTGGCTAAGCTTACCTATAGACAAACAAGTTACTTAAAAGTAACTTCTAGTTTTTAAGCTTAGTACGCTGTGATCCATTAGTACGATTCCTATATACAGCAAAAACCACAAGTATCAAATTTAAGACAGGTTCTTGTTGAAAATTTACTTAATCGTGCATACAGAAAAATAAATAAAATTCAATTCCCATCAAGGATTTGCTTTGTATTTAGATAGAAACTGTGATAAATTCTGCTAGCTCCTTTATTGATCTTGTAATACGAACAATCACGATTTGCAATTCACAATTGTCCAATTGTCCAGTCCCTAATCAAAATTCACACGGAAAACAAGAGTGAGAAAATTGTTATTTTCTTTTCTTATAATAGCAAGTTCAAGCCCTAACAGCCTATTAATATATGTCCAAATGGACTTGGCCCGCCTTTTAAAAATAATTCGGTCCAGTATTTAATTAATTCAATTAATCAAATTTGATCCATGAGTTAATTAATCCAAATAATTAATTTGGGCATATTAGCAAGCAACTCAATTAATTAATTGCCCAACGCTTGTTAATTAATTAATTGGTAAATCTCATTCTTCTAATTTTCATTTTGTGTGTGACCCATTAGGTTTTCCATCACGATACCAAACGATGTGAATTATTATTTGATCCAATCAAAATCGATAAATTAAAATATCTCTTTCTAATTTATCATCAATTTACATCCGTCGTCCCAAATTGACATCTAACAATATGTCAAAGCAATACATGTTACGAAAAATGTTACGTGGTATGACAAGATAAAACTTGTTCATTTACTGTGAAACCATAATCCCTTAATCAATATGATTCGATCAATAACGAGATATAGATATGTGTCAATCTCAACAATCGATTATATCTTTTATTCCACCATTAAATCAATATAAGTCGAAAACTCATTTTCTGACTTATGAGTGTACATTGGCCAATGATTTCGTAATCAATTTAATTGAATAAAATGTAGATTATAATATTTTACTGTCTAAGACGGATACTCTATTGATTATCACAACCTTCATATGACTCTTAATATACCCGAACGATACTGTATTAGTGGTCATTGGCAGAGAAACATCCAACATCACCAAATTATGACCGTCCTCAAATAAGGCACTATGATAATCTCAAATCGAAAGACCAATTCCACTATTGAATGTTAGAGATTAGCTACTGACATTTAGATAGTTATCAATGTGGAATCTCTCCAATGGGTCTTCAATATTTTGTTCTATAACAAAACATTCACATGTTTATTTAAATGTAAAACCACACTTTAGCTCGTGAAATCAGCTACTTACTTCACAAATAAGAAACATCACACGTGATGGTTTATCCGTAATAACGATATTCGTATTTTGTTATTACTTACCGGGGCTATGTAAGTTCTCTTGTTAACAAAATATGAAGTATTGTGCAAAGTACTAAACCACTTACTGGAGCTATGTAAGTTCTCTTGTTGAAAAATTAGAAATGGAATATAAAATACTAGAGAAATGATAATAGTTATTATCTGTTCTTTTTGTTCAATAAAATACCATAAGATCTAGATCCATATCCTTAGCTTCTCTAAGAAACTGCAAGAAATGGGGTTGTATAAATTAAAGCTCGAGTTCACTAATCACATGTAGTCCCTGAAATCTGGTAGGCAATTCTGACATCAAACTCATGAAATACCGCATGGTTTAACTCGTTAAATAGATACAATAAATCAGAACCTATAATCAGAACAACAAAAATGTTCTTTCATTTTGCTTATTGACGAAAAGAAACCCAAAATCAAGAAAATCAATCAAATCTGAAGATTAATTAAGAACAGTAAAACCAAACAAGCATTCTTGACTAAGAACCTACAATCATCAATTAATTCCAAAATATGAACAAAAAAGTTCAATCTTGGAAGCTTACCAAAAGATGTTCCAAATAAGTCTAATAACATAAAAATTAATTCAAAGACACAAAATTTCACCTCGATAAATAATTATCTTTGATTTTGTTTGCAAAATGTTTTCTTAGTTATATATTAACAAGATACCATAACATCTACCTATCTCCTTAATTCTTATCAAGTGTAAATAATAGATGTCTAAAATTTCTGATATTTTGAATTTACCCAAGATACTGTAGCCCAAAAGTTTCGAGTTTTCTGAACAATGAATTTTAGGATATATCACAGTCCAAAAGTTCTGAATTTCTCTTTTTCTTTTCATTCAAGAAGTGTGAAATCCAAAGAGAATCCATTTCCTTTACTAAAAAATTTGCTTTTTGTGGTGATAATTGATCAGTATAGAGTTGAATCATATAAAAGATCAGAAAATAAGAATTATGTTAATCTCATTCTTACTGTTTTCATTACCAATTATGGTAGGTGCGTAGATTTTAAGGTATGCATAACTCAATTACCTGAAAAAGGATATTTCTCAAATGTTACGGCCAGGCCTGCATGCTTGCAGAATCCTCCAGATAGGTTGCAAAGCATAAAAATTCATGCTTTCATGCTTACACATCAAGAAAAGAGCTTTTTAAGGCAGAGTCAAAATATTGGAATGAAAAAAAATAAAATATTTTTAGCATACCTCAAGTTAATTGGGATGTTCTAATACATCAATAACGTAAAGAAAAATTGAAACCCAGTAATGAATGAGCTCTTTGTTTTCGCTAAGTCATGACTAAGAAAAATCAGGGTTTCTGGTCATTGAAGTGGTACCTTTATCCAATTGAAATCCCATGAAACACTGCCAACAGGATAATTTAATGAATAGTCACTGAACATTAATATAGGTTACTATCTGCTCACTGATCTTTAAAAAATTACTCGCTGCTTACTCAACTTTGCTATAGATTATTACTTACTCATCGAAATTTAAGAGGTTACTCATTGCTTACTTAAACTTTGCAATAGATAATACTTATGCATGGAAATGATATGGATGATTGATGGGTAACTTTGTTCAAATTTGAGTAAGCAATGAGTAACCTTTTAAATTTTGGTGAGTAAGTGGTAACGTATAGCAAAATTTAGTGAGTAAAGAGTAACCTTTTAAATTTTAGTGAGCTAGAAGTAACTTATAGTAAAGTTCATGACTACTGATTAAGTTAACTCTATACCAACTTTCGTAATTCACAAATATTGAGCACAAATTGCAAAATTAATCAAGTTAAACTAATGCGAACCCGATTAGCAAGGTCGCTATCTAACCCACCGGAATTAACGCTGGATCCCAAGAACGCCCAAATATGACCAAGGTTTAGGAATTGACCTGCAAAAGTGAACCAAGCAACCCGTATATTAAACGAACGACCTCTTAATCACACAATCTTGAAATCTCATTCGGATTTGTGGATTTGAATTCCAAAATAGTGAATTAAGCAACCGAAGGTATATTAAAACAATGACCTCTTAATTACACAATAACGAAATCACACTTGGTAATTTTGAACGCCACAAGAAAATTAATCTCTTGATAAGTTCAACCCGTTCATTGAAGAACAAAGTTTGAAAGGAGAAAATCTCAATAATTCATTATTAAAAGTCTTGTATTACAATGTAGAAAAATAAACCTAGTTATACTAAAACCTAGAATAAAGTTTAAATAGAATAAAATTCTAGAATACCTATAAATCTATTAAAATCGGAAATAGAGTCCTAAAATATCTAAATTACCAAAAATAAGAATTTGGACCAAAATAAAACTTCTCCAGATCACATCAGACCCTCCCTCTTCAAGAGGATTCGTCCTCGAATCTTAATCCAAGTTATAGCCTTTACTTTCAATCAACTCAAGCACATGAAATGGCCCATCACATCTCGGATGCAATTTGGACCTCTTTTGACATCGAACTCTCCTCTTTTGAATGTAGACCCAAATCCCAATCACCCGTACACAGATCAAAGTGTGTACGCTTTGACGGTTTCTTTTTGCCATTTTGTGATGCTCCAAGAATTATTTCAGTTGATAAATCACTATTCATTTTCCATGCTTTACTCGGCCCAGGTGATGTTGACAATATTACTTCCATTCGATGCATGTTTCCCAACATATCGACTTTGTAGCTCAACTCCTTGCATATTAATTCCTTCCATTGCTTTTGAAATTCCTTCGTTTCCTTAGAGATAACAAAATCAATCTTCGGTAATATAGTGATGTCCAAACTAGGATGTGGTTGTTGTTGAATTGTATCTACCATTTGGTAATTAATGCCCTGATTGTAAGGGAATCCAATCTAATTAATTTTTGGAATCGAATCTTCGTGAACCTACAAAATAGAATTAGCAAAAATAGGGAGGGAAATGTTAGTGTTAGCCAATGCCTCCTCAATTTTAACATCTTCTTCATGCAAGTTCACTCCCAACTCCTCCTTTATCCCCAAAGACTCTTCTTTACTTTCATCCCGTGATTCCATTTCCATTTTAACCACTTCGCCAATTTCAATTTCACCCCCGACTTTCTTTTCACTCATTTGTGGCTCCTCTTCTTTTTCCTCAAAAACTACCACCTTAACATTTTTCTTTTTTATCTCTTGCTCCTTTCGTCCGTTCAGACGATCAATTTGAGACCTCATAATGTCGAGAATATCGGAGAATTTCTGTTTATAATCCACCCCAGTCATCGTGCTTGATGTACTACCCGCACACTTCGCACTAGGTGTTTTCCTTTCCACTGGATAATCATCCCAAGCATCTCCTAGGCTTTTCCCTAAATTCGACTTCTCGCCAATTTCTCCTATAATAATTTGTATTCCTTCTCTCATGTCCATCGCTTCTATTTCTCGATTTCCATACTTCATCAATGCCACAATCATATCCATATGCATAACAATTTTTCATCCTCGGTTCCCGTCTCCTCACATTGAACCCCAAATCACATTGATCCCTATGAATTTTTTTTAGTTTTGCATCATTCTTATCCATCTTATTCCCCATATTCTCAAGCATCTTCTCAAATCTCCAAATAAAATTTTCTGAATTTTTTTTTACACTCTTTTTTTTTACACTTTTTTTCTGACTCTTTTTTTCTTTTTTTTTCTCAAAATTTTTTTTCGGGTACTATACGGACGTGAATAGTACCTCGTGGAACAGTATTTTTCTTTTTGGAAAACTTGACGATGAATCAAAGACTCAAAAGCTGAAAATTAAAAGAACACCAATAACACAAAAAAAAAAACGCGAAAAACAAAAGGACTCAACTAAAATAAAATAAAATTGGATATAACCTTGATCTTGGTGCCTTAGCTCTAATACCAAATGATGCGAACCTGGTTAGTAAAGTCGCTATCGAACCCACAAGAATTGACACCGGATCCCAAGAACGCCCAAATACGACTAAGGTTTAGGAATTGACCCGCAAAAGTGAACCAAGCAACCAAGCGTATATGAAACGAACGACCTCTTAATCACACAATTTTGAAATCTCATTTGGATTTGTGGATTTGAATTCCAAAATAGTGAATTAAGCAACCAAAGATATATTAAACCAATGATCTTTTAATTACACAATAACGAAATCGCACCCGGTAATTTTGAACGCCACTAAGGAAATTAATCCTTTGATAAGTTTGACCCGTTCATTGAAGAACAAAGTTTAAAAGGAGAAAATCACAATAATTCATTATCAAAAGTCTTGTATTACAATGTAGAAAAATAAACCTATTTATACTAAAACCTAGAATAAAGTTTAAATGGAATAAAATTCTAGAATACCTATAAATCTATTAAAATCGGAAATATAGTTCTAAAATATCTAAATTACCAAAAATAAGAAATTGGACCAAAATAAAACTTCTCCAGATCACATCACAAACAAAAAGCCTTAGATCTAACACCTTGAATTTTTCTACAGAATAAGTGTATCTAAAAACCTAAGGCAGAGAGTGGGTGGATTTGGCGGTGAGGAGAGGGTGCACCAAGACGGCGTTTGTTGCTGTCAAAGTGGAAATTGCCACCGGTGCTAATTCTCAAATTGTGCAAAACATCACTCCATGAACAAAATTTGTAGATTTCTTGGAAATGAAAATCTGATCTACAAAAGAAGTTCCGAATTAGTAGATGCTACCAAAGGTACTAGCGATGTCAAACACAAAAAGGAAGAGACTCATAAAATGGTAGACTTGTAATGCCTTCTCTTTGAGACTTGGATCAAGTTTTCAAATATAGAAACAAAGAAAAAACCCATAGACGAAATGAATATTCTAGAAAGAGAAAATGCAAAAGGAACGCTTATCTTCTTTTATCTACGCAGAACGATGTTGTCTGAAAATTCAGCTCATTTCTAACTGGCTCAACAAACTCGGCTCAATCCAAAATGCAACCAACGGCTTGTGAACAGTTATTGAAATCTGCCTATTCTACTTTTAGTTAGATAGAAATGCCATACATTGTGCTAACAAACTTTTATATTGATACACTTCTGTGAGATTCTATTCATATTGCAAATAAAATTTTGTTAATAATTGTGCATTTTTTCAACCAAAACTGGAAATGTATATGAAAGTAGTTATTTCAAACTTTCTATTTACATGCTCTGATAAGAGCTATACAACTAATCCGTTCCATTAATATACATACATCTATAAATACACCAACATTACATGTAATATATGTATAAATATCCTAAAATTGATTATAATAACCTACATTAAAAACAATGTGCACTACAAGAAAAATAGTCTTTTTACAACATGTAAATGGCAACATGCACCAATTGTATGTTGCTAAAAGGGGTTTATTGCAACATTCACCAAATGCATGTTGTCATTGGTTGAAAAAATTAAGATTCAACAACGTTCATTTAGTGGTTGTTGCTATTACACCCTTTCGCAACGTTCATAGATTGTTGTGTTTTTTTTTTT